TACTAAAAGTAATGAAGAGGAAGTTTATGGCCCTAATATGCCTATGTCAAAACACTGAGTATTCTCAAATAGATGATTTAGTGATTCAACTAAAGCCTTGAAAAATATGAACAAACCAAACTCTGAAGAAGTAGATAGGGAGAAATAATTAAGATGAGGGCAGAAATAAATAAAATAGAAAATCATAAATTCTAAGGAAATTTTTGTGTGTATGGGGGATATTCCTGCATGTATGTCTGTGTACCACGTACCTACCTGCTGAGGCTAAAACAAGGCATTGTATGCCCTGGAACTGGGGCTACAGATGGTTATCATGCAGGTATTGGGAATTGAACCTAGGTCCTCTGGAAAAACAGCAAGTGCTCTTAAAATCTCTGTAGTCCCCAAAATAGAAAACTTAAAAAATACAAAGGATCAATGAAATGAAGAATTGGTTCTTTGAAAGAATAAGATTGACAAATCCTTAGCCATATTGAATTATTTTTTAACTTAGAGATTAAAAAGGAAGCATTATTACAAATAAGGGTGAAATTCAGAAAATGATAAGTGCATGCTTTGAAAACTCATATTCATGTAAATTGGAAAGTGTAAAAAAATAGTGAATATATAAATATATATGACCTACTAAAATTAAACTAAAATGAGTAGATAATTTAAACACATCCATAAAATGGCATTGAAGCTATAATTAAAAAAATCTTCAAACTAAAAAGACAGGAGTTGGTAGATTAACTACAGAATTCTATCACACCTTCAAAGAATAACTAATAATAATACTATGAGATAAAATTTAAAAGAATAGAAGTTACTTAAAATTTTTATGGAGATATTAGTACCCTGATACAAAAAAAGAAAGAAGAGAAAGAAAGGAAGGAAGGAAGGAAAGAGAAAAGAGATATTATAAAGATGGCTACCCTATTCAACAGCATTCTGCAAATTCAATGCAATCACAATCAAATTTCTAATTACATTCTTCATAGCAACAGAAAAAAAAACCTTAAAATTTGTATGGGGAACAAAAGTGGGGAGGAGGGATACTATGAGGCCTCAGCCCTACACAAAGAACTACAGGCAACTAAGGAATTCTGAGAGCAGGGGAAACAGTCTTCACCCTGGGGAAGAGTACACCAATTCGTTATCCAATGCCAAATGTCCAGCCCTGACAAAATACATACAAGTAACATGTGTAACTGTATGACACATGTATGATGTAACACTGTATAATGTATGACATTATACAGAACAGAGCAGGTTGTATTTAGGAAGATATATCTGTATACATATACACATATTCCTTCAACAACATAAATGAAAAAGGGTCCATGAATTTGAAAGAGAACACAGATGGGTGTATAGGAGGACTTGGAGGGAGGAAAGGAAAGAGGAAATTATGTGATTATGTAATAATCTCAAAAATAAAAGAAACAATAAAAAATGTTGTATGAAAGCACAGAACACTAAGGATAGCCAAACAATCTCAAACAAAAAAGGAGAGAATGGGAAATGTCACCCTTCCTGATTTGAAGTTATGATAGAGACATGCTAATAAAAACACCATCAAGGAAATGTAGAATAAGATTACCTTAAAATGCATCTCACTGCAGTCAGACTGTCCATCATCAAGAAGACAAATGGTAATGTAAACGTTAACATGGTTGTAGGGACAGGGATAAACTAGCACAATACTATGGAAATCAATCTGGAGGATCCCCCAAAGGACTAGAAATAAAACTACAATATGACTTAGCTATGCCACACTGTGCATGTAGCCAAATGAATCTACGTCTTACTAAAGAGATACTTGCACACCCATCATCAATGATGCTCTATTCATGACAGTTAGGAAACAGAATCAGCGTAGATACCCATCAACAGAAGAAAGGGTAATGAAAATATAGAACATATCCACAGTGGAATTTTAGTCAATAGTAAGGGGAAATAAAGTTTGCAGGTAGATAAATGAAGCTGGGAAAAATTATACTGAGTCACTCAGGCTGAAAAGAAAGATGCCACATGTTCTCTTTCATGTGTAGATCCTGACTTTGACTCTTAGGTTTTTTTTGTTTTTATTTAACTTAAAGGACCCATAAAAGCCATGCAACTAGAAAGGGGTCACTTGGGGAGGGTGCTTAAGGGTTAGGGGATAAAAGAACGTAGGTGAAATTAAAGTATGAAGGAGGAACATGTGGGAGGAAAGGGTTATACTGGGAAGGGGTTAGAGGCATGAGGAGGATGAGAGAGCAGGTGGTGGGGAAGGGTTAGCAAAAACAGAAGGAAGGCTATGAAACAGCCATATGGAAACCTATCTTCTAACCCAATTAAAGAAATTTAAAAATAAGAGTTTAAAAGAGAGTACCCAGTATGGCTAGATTGTGCTGCTCCTAAAAGCAGCAAGATGCTAAAGAAGAACCTTTGTGCCATATGTCTACTCACAGAGGCTGTGGCAGCATGCATGGGTTCAAACCAGACAGGGTCTGAGTGCTGAAAGGGGGAAGTGGACACAGGTACCCACCCCTACCAAGAAGCTGTCTGCAAATGACAACTTAGGTTTCACTAGTAGAATTTTACTGGTATATAAACCACACTTAAGGGTTTGCCCATCAGTAGATGGCCAACACAAAATGAATGATATATTTGGAGACTTTTTGTTTCATATTGCGTGTTTGGGCATTTTTTGTCTTAATGACCTTTTGTTTTTATATTATGTTATCTGAGTTTGTGGGGTGTGTGTGTGTGTGTGTGTGTGTGTGTGTGTGTGTGTGTGTATGTGTGTTTCTTTTTAAAAAGTGTGTGCATTTCTTCATTTTAAAAAATTATTCTGTTTCTTTTTTTCTTTCTGTTTTTTTTTTCTAAAGAGGGAGAGAGAAAGAAGGGGAGTTGGTGAGTTAGGAGGTGGGGAGAATCTGGGTAGTTTTGGGAAAGGAGAAACTGTGATTAGAATATATTGTGTTTTTTTTTTCAAAAAAAGAAAGATAAGTAAAGAGAAAGGAAGTCAGATAAAGAGATGGAAAACCATTTCTTTGGATTTGCAAATTAGGAATATCCTAATGCGTATTTTCCTCCTACTTGAGAAAATGATCCTAAGCTTCTGTGGGTATCAATTCTCCATATGTAATTGAGATGCTGGTGATGAAGAGTGTAATAACTGTCCCACATTGCCTAGGGTGTTATTTCAGAGAGAAAGTGAAATGAAGTGTGAAAGTGCATGCAAGAAAGGGGGGAAAACCCCAGTGCCAGGTATGAGATACCTCCATAAGGGTCATTAGCCATGGAGGCTCCAGACACCCTCAAAATAATATGGATGCTTGTCTTTCTGCTTGGTTGTCGACCAGAACTATAGGATAAGGCCCTATTTGCTGAACATGACACATAACATAATTATAAGATATATAAGAATCAAGCTAGAACTTATGTGGAAACTTCCTCCCTGCTGGCTAGCTTTCAAAATGCAAAAGTTGCTGTGTAGGCTATTGGGAGAATAAGGGCATCAACAGCCTTACCTAGTAGTGAATTATACAAACTACAACACCAACTTGCCAGGCTAGTTATGTCTATGTGGGAAATAATGGCACAGCTATAATGTTGGTAACCAGCTACTCTATGGTTGTATTTTAGGCTGGCAGCACAGAAGTGATCTGGTGCCCAGCTATGTAAGTCCAACATTAAAAACAAGACCTTGGAAGGACATAAAACTTTATTAAGGAAAATATTACTGATGTTTAGTTAAATGAATATAATGCCAATCTGCCTTTTAGATTTCTATAGTTAACACCTTTAGACAATGCTGCTCTCAACCCTAATCAGAGATGCTTCTGTTTCACAGAGAATGGCAGGGAATGTGGACTCATAGCTGTCCAAGATGCTAAGAATAAGTGACAGATGAGGACTCAGTCCTCAGCTACCCCCTGAGGCTCAGGGAACATTGTAGAAGAAGGGACTGAAAAGTATGCAAAAGCCAGAAGCTAGAAAAGGGTATGAGAATTCTAGCTTGTAGACATGACAATCAGTGTAATCTGGAACTTATAGCAACTGTAATTACTTGCACTGAGCCTACTTAAGATAGGCCCCTCAACAGTTAGCCATGGGCAGCAGATGGGCTCCTGGGACCCTGTCCCTTATTGCTGATGGACTCTGGGGGAAAGTAGTTTTATTTCAGTTTTACTCGGTGTACCTACCAGCCACCTGTGGCCACAGAGTGCCCTACACAAACCTAAAGGGGCACAAAAGAGAAAGGTATGAATGGAGGGAGAGATTAGTAGGAAAGGGGAGGTGGAAATGGAAGGGAAGGAAATGAGAGGGGATGGAGGCAACACAATCAGAATGTATTGAACATATGTCAGGAATTGTCAAACAAGTTTAATGTTCAAAAGAATTAAAAAGAATACAACCAGAATACAAGAAAGCAATTAATGCTTTAAAATTTCCTGTGTTTTACCTGAAAATTTCATGAACTCTAAGACAAGTTTAGTATTTAAATTCTTTGCTTTAGGAGACACTTGCCAGTGACAGGGAGCCTCAGCTCAGTCTTAATTCACAGAGATCAGTATATGCTTTTGTTTCTGTGTTGAGTGTCAGGCCTCTGGGACCCTGGGCTGAAGGTGACCACTTGGATATTAGAAGGAACCACTGCAGTGTGTTAACTAATTCTAGCTGAGGCGATGACCTGTAGCTTGACAAGGAGATTCTTGAAATATTACCCCTTCCATCTAGATACTGATATTTTTGGTATGTGATTTTTTTTCCCTAATTACTTTGCTGACTTAATAGGAGAATGTCAAGTTCATACTGAAGTCATCCTGCCTGACATAACTGTACTTAAGAAGAAAACAGAAATAGGCAGGGGAAAATTAACTCGGTGTTAGACTGAGGAGTCTGCATTAGGACCTGTTCCAAGTTGACATACTGTATGCAGACTGACTGAGATTATTTGGTTAACTATATCCAGAAAGTCATGCTTCCTTCCAAATGTGCACATACCATCCATGGCTCATTATGTAATTCTAAATGGCTTACATCCCTACCCAGCTTTTTGTTAACATGTCCATGAGCAAGGAAGCTGCATCTCAGAGACAGATATCAATGCTGTATAGAAATCAAGGTCAGTACCCTGGTAATATTTCTCTGTGCCAGTGGGGGTCTAGTATTTCAACATGCATTTTATGGTCTTTGTATTTTAAAAAAGACAATTTCTATCACATAAAGGTATGAAGGTTAAAGCTATACATAGTCCATATGTAGCATTCAAACTCTTACAATCTATGAGTAGGCCAGTAGCATCACCCAGTATGGCAATTGATGACTGAGATAGTTCAATGCCCCCAAATGTAAGGGGTCTTATCTTGTGTGGTGGTTTCCAAAGCTTTGAGCTATGAGACTCCTTTTTTTTGTAACTGATATAAGTAACTTGATATCCTGAAAACTGTGATTTATTTTTATTTACTCCTTGTTTCATTTAAAAATAGCATATTCATATCCAAAAATAAGCATTCAAGACAAGACACAGCTGTTAAGTGCATGTCATGATAGGATGCTGCTTTGTTTTCAAGAAATTTTTAAATGTAAAGATGACTTGAATGCAATGAACGTATATTTTAGTAGTGATACCAGCATCTGTGTATATATTTTTTAAATATAGCTTCATAGAAAGATTATTTAATATGTCTGGAAAGTAGTACTTAAATGTATTTAATTTACTTTTTAAAGTAATTTAAAGTAGTATTTAAAGGCATATTCTTGCATGAACTGGTGTCCCACACCTGCTTCTGCATCAAACCTCTGGCAACCAATGTAAAACCATTGCCTCATTTTCCTCTTCACTCCCAAGAGGTACAAATCCACCTCCTTTCAGACACAGTGTAATAGCGTTGTTGAAAGTAGACTTCAAACCTTGGAAATGCTATTTAACACCCTTGAGCCTTCATTTCCTTTTTAATAATAATAATAATGTCTATGCCATAGAGTCATTTTGAAAGCTAAATAAGTTAACACATACTTAACACTTACAAATTACAATTATTAGACATTGCTATTCCTATTACCAGTATATTGTTCTGTTGTTACAGTGGATGCTACCCCTTGGTGTCCACTTTGAGTCCAGCACTGGCCAGAAGGCCCAGCTTACCAGTTGGCCATGCATGAGGATGTGTCAAGATTAGTTTAGGGTGATTAAAACTTCTATTTGAAAAATATTCTACACTGTGTTTCTTTTTGAGGGTTATAGATAATTAGGACTATTCATTGTCAAGCTAGTATCTTGTCCTTGTTTAATGCTTTATTGATCAGGAATGTACATATACTCTCTGGTTTGGAAGCCTTCTTGAACATCTACTGTTGATGATTACCAAGGAAACTCCATAGGTTTTTTTATTTGGGCCTCTGTATGCTGGCACACACACAGAAAATATTCTTTAAAAATTAGAACAAAAAAAGAATACTGTTTTTAACAGAGGGAGGCATGAAGCATGGGAAACTTTTAGCTATCTCTCCACTTATAGACCCTGCAGACTGACCATATGTGTGTGACAATTCCCATTTATAGCTCCATTAGTTGCAAGTACTGAGCTCTTAAATATGTTCTTTTCTTAGTTGGTTTAAAATCCATCTCCAGAGGAATGGATGTGTGGGGATATTTTAATTGTGCTGAAATGTGATTTTATTTGTATTGTAGCTAGAGTTTTCCTGCCTGGCCCACAGTCAGGACAAATCTCTCTCACCTGCCAGTCCCACAGCCACTCAGACCCAACCAAGTAAACACAGAGACTTACATTGCTTACAAACTGTATGGCCGTGGCAGGCTTCTTGCTAACTGTTCTTACAGCCTAAATTAATCCATTTCTATAAATCTATACCTTGCCATGTGGCTCGTGGCTTACCGGCATCTTCACATGCTGTTTGTCATCGTGGCGGCTGGCAGTGTCTCTCTGACTCAGCCTTCCACTTCCCAGCTTTATTCTCCTCCTTGTCCCACCTATACTTCCTGCCTGGCCACTGGCCAATCAGTGATTTATTTATTGACCAATCAGAGCAACACATTTGCCATACAGCACATCCCACAGCATTGTATGTTAATAAATAAAGTTTGCCTGGAGATCAGAGGTCATAGCGAGCCAGGAACAGAAGTCAGGCAGTGGTAGCTCATGCCCTTAATCTCTGTGTGTTCTCTGTGTGTTCAAGGACACAGCCAAGCATGGTGACATGAGCCTTTAATCCCAGTATGAACCATAGAGACCTGGAGGTCTGTATAGACAGGCAGTAACAAGGAAGTCATGTGGTTGGGCTTAGAGCCAATGAGAAGGCAGAACCGGAAAGCAATAAAAACACAAGTCACACAGGAAGAAGCTCTCTCTGGTGAAGCTACAGAGGTGGGGTGGTAAGATAAGGTAGTTGTAGCTCTTCGCTAGTTCTCTGATCTCTTTTGCTATTACCTCTGTGTTTCTTATTTAATAAGACTGTTTAGAAATTCGTGTACATGGATGGATGATAAGAAATAATATTTGTGTTAAAGTTATATGATTAGAAATGTAATGTAATCTCATAATGTAGATTGGAGATAAAAATAATTAGAAATCTAAAAGTACAAGTGTTGTGCCAATAGAATGGAGATTTTCTTTCTGATATTATTTATAGGCAGCAGTTTTGGTACCATTCTTTGAAATTAAAATATAGTGTAATGTAAAAAAACATGTCTTTCAATTTGGCAATCTGAAGTTTGTCATGTCTGACATTCACTACCCCTGTAGTCTTGAAATATGTTGCATAAAATCCCTTTTAAAATTTATTAAAACTTCAATATAAAGAACTTTTAAATAAAAACATCACATGGCAAAGTTAACCGGACCTGAAGTTTCTACATCTCAATGAATGTCTAAACAGTTAGAATAGACATTCTGATGCTGTGGTGTTTCACACTGGATCTTACACTTTCACTCCTTGAATCCTGCATAGACAGCATAAGAGCTGCTCTTATTGCTTGGTATGGGGAGTAAATGAACTAAACGTACAACTGGCAGAGCTCACTGGGCAGTTGTCCCATGAATGCCAGTTTCTGCTGCAAAGTTGTGTTTGCTACCCCAGCCCTCAATCGTGGTGAGGGCTTCATGCAGCTTCAGCGTCAGATACAATTTCCAAGATTACTTCTTCCTTTCGGGGAACAGTACTGGATGGGCTAAGGGTTCTGACAAAGAATATTCTACCATACGGAAAACGGCTATCTTTTTATTTTCCATCTGTTGTTATTTTTTAAAAATGTACTGCTATATAGGCAAATGTAGGTGATAAAACAGGGCAAATAACGGCAAGAAAAATGTAATTCTGAAAATAGTCATTCACAATTTTCATAAATGCTCTTTGTTCCTTCTTAAGTGAGATTTGTACCTACCACCCACACAAGACTTGGCTCCCAGGTCTTTCTCTGATCATTGAACAGTGACAACAATTTCCTTACTTGTTTCCAAGGACAAGTTGGAAGAGCAATTATAGATTCATTTCCCTTTAATCTTCTTCCATGAGACCCATCATATCCCAGATTATGACTGTCTACCCGCAGTCACATCAGGTAGGTGACAATCTGCAACAGCTCTCAGGAACAGAGTAATAGGGATACCACACTAGGGAGAAACAAGTCTCTGTATAGAGAGGTACGGGGATATCCAAGTTATTTGTTACTACACTTAAAGTTTTCTCTATTGGCAGTCCCCTAGTCAGACTTGTCTTGTGTCCTGCAAGGTATGTCAACTCATATTCACAGAACACTTCTCAAAACCTGCCTATTTTAAAGGCCCACATCTAAGCCTCTACAGTTTGGAACAGCATAGAGTTTGCAATGACCCACTGGTGGTTTTGTGACTTTTATATTAAAAGCTGAAAGTCCAAATAAACTATGCAGTGAGGCCTGCATTTATCAAAAAAAAAAAAAATGCACACAGTACAAGATCTTCCTGTGGTTAGAGTCACTTTCTTTTATGTCCCTCTGCTACAATGGAGGACCATTATCTTTATATCATGCATAGCTTGAATACTACTGGCTAGGACTTGGTTGTCTTGCTGTCTATAACTGTACAGAGTTAAGGAAATCATTTATTTCTAGATATTCATTTTCTCTTACATAACAGGGGTGTAATTTTCCTTTAACATAAGGATATAATTGTTTTGAATAAATGAATTAACCTAAGTGGAGGGAAATTAATAATCTATAATATGCAAGTATTAACTCTAATTTCTGTGGAATTTAGTTTCCCTAGGTATGGCTCTTCCATGTTTTCCAGCACAACCAATTTCTCTTAAGTCAATGAGACTTCGGTGAGCACAACATATATTAGATGTCCTCCCAGGAGGTGTTTGCAGTTGTAGGGAAAATAGTCATAACCAGCATCTACCTAGAAGGCCCCTGGAGTGGGTCTAAGTCTCATCATGTTAAGTAAACTAGATGATTTTTATAACTCTGCATTCCACAGTAGCAACTACTTCTTGTTAAAAAACATCATCACACAGACATGAAAATATGGACACATAAGGAAAACACACATACACTCACATACATGTGCACATACTCAAATGCCTATACACATGCTTCTGCATATATGCACACAGAAATGCACATGCATGTACATATTTTTATTTTCATATATGCATATGCACAGCAATACAAGATAGTCAACTTGTTAAGGGTGGGAGACAGCAAACCAGTTCATGCTTCTCCTTAGTTTAAAGAGAAGGAATGAGAACAGAAATTGTTGAGTTAATTTTCTCATGATAACAAACAAAAGACATGTAAAGCCAGAAGGGTGGCTATGGCTCTGAGGTGTAGCTAGAGTTTTCCTGCCTGGCCCACAGTCAGGAGAAATCTCTCTCACCTGCCAGTCCCACAGCCACTCAGACCCAACCAAGTAAACACAGAGACTTATATTGCTTACAAACTGTATGACCGTGGCAGGCTTCTTGATAACTGTTCTTACAGCTTAAATTAATCCATTTCCATTAATCTATACCTTGCCACATGGCTCGTGGCTTACTGGCATCTTCACATGCTGTTTGTCATTGTGGCGGCTGGCAGTGTCTCTCTCCACCTTCCTGTTCTTTCTTTTCTCCTCTCTGTTAGTC